TGAACCTGCTGTAAGAAAAAAAAAAAAAAGATGCATTCAACTAATCATATCACATAAAAAAGCAGGTTTGTTTTCATGCAAACAAGTTCTTGTAATTTTGGTTTTGAACAAGTCCCTGGGAGCTTTGTACCATGTGCTAAACATTGAGATCAAACAGCAGCGAGTAGGTAGTACAATGCTACATACAATATTGACAGGAGAGGGAAGTGGCTGTTGGGGAAGGTATTCACAGAGGTTAACCTTAGCCCCTGCAGGCTAATGCCTCAATGGCTTTCTCTAGTCAGTAAAGAGAGAAAGGCTCCTCCAGAGGGCGATTCAGAACTGAAGATTCATTTAGCTACTCTGAATCTCTCTCTGGAGGACCCTCACTTCCATTAACTTCAAGAAACAGCCTGCAGAGATTAGCCTCAAAAAGACCATGCTAGCCTTTGTGAATACTCCCCAGTATTTGCCTTCCATCAGTAGGAACAGTGGCTGAAATTCACTACTGAGATGTATAGTTGGGTATACTGTATTTAAATCTGAACACCATGTATTGTACATGGACTGAGTTTTACCCAGCTGGAGCTTAGTGCTCCTGCCAAAATCACTGAAACAGTCTCCAGAGCACTACTAGGATGACTGCAGGATTTGGTTTTTTTCCACTGCCCTATTAAAGTGCTCCATTTGACGGCCACCCGCATGCTGCCATACAAAGGACTGCTGTGCCCCCAGCACCTTCAGAATCCACTAACATTCTGCAGTCACACTGGCACAGCTCCTTCTCTTGCTCCAACTGCTCATTGTATCGCTAGAGCAGCAGCAGGAGCTGGGTTTTCACCATCAACCTAAACACAAAGAAGAAAAATTCTCAACTTTTGAGACCTGATGTCAGCAATTTTTATGGTTATTATTTAGTAGCAACAAGAGAGGAAAACGGTCTTTTAATCTCAAACACAGAATAAAATTGGATTTTGTGGCTTGGGAACACAAGGAAGAAAGCCATAGCACTGTCAGAACTATTATCAGGGCCATTTCCTAAGTCTTCCAGTTCTTCTATACTTCATCAGGCCATTGTGCTTCCCTCCCTGAAAAACTTCCATGATATCTTCAAATTCTATCAAATAATACATTTGAGAAAAGTAAGACTACTATAATATTGTATAAACCAAAAGAATGATTACAGCTCTTTAAAAGTTTTGGTGGAACTTTTCACATCAATGCTTTATGATTCTGCCAAAAATTCTCTTCACAGAGTATCTTTGTAATATAAACCAGCCATCCTTTTTCAAATGTAAAATACAGGGGAAAAAAAAGAGGCTTTAAATTGACTTCAGCAAAGGTGTGACAAAGTTAATCACAAACAATGGAAGTCTTTCATTTAACATCAGTCAAGTTATAACCAGAGCCGAAGACAATACAGACTCCGCGCAGAGTTGATTTCCAAAGTACACCTTAAAGTATGGTTAGACAAACCAGTACCAGTCTGAGAGTACAGCACTCTTCTTACAATCTTATGACAACTCCCAAGCCCTCAGAAGTCTGGTTCCAAACTTAAATTTTTCCTTTACAATCATGTCAAACATGACTTGGACATAACAAAATGAACTTGTAAACTTCAAATCAACTTGCAAACATCTGCTAAGTACATCTTACCACTGAAATCAAGCCTCTTTACCAAACAGAAAAGTTGTGTTCAGATTTTAGAGACCATGTTGAGACAAAGGTGTAATGAATACAGGAAGTACTATAAAGACGAGTTATTGTGCCAAATGAACAGATCCTCTGCACGTTGCATAAACTACTTGCAATGCAGTATGTCAAGCACTTTATGCTATCTGCGTTATTACCTAAGTAACAGCGTAAGAAATGTTTAGCCCCCATCTGAAATGTGGCTGAGGGAACTGGAGTTGTTTAGCCTGGAGAAAAGGAGGCTGAGGAGAGACCTCATCGCTCTCTACAACTACCTGAAAGGAGGTTGTAGCGAGGTGGGTGTCGGCCTCTTCTCCCAAGTAACTAGCAATAGGATGACAGGAAACGGCCTCAAGTTGCACCAGGGGAGGTTTAGATTGGATGTGAGGAAAAATTTCTTTACTGAAAGAGTGGTTAGACATTGGACGAGGCTGCCCAGGGAAGCGGTTGAGTCACCATCCCTGGAGGTATTTAAAAGACGTGTAGATGAGGCGCTTAGGGACATGGTTTAGTGGGCATGGTGGTGTTGGGTTGAGAGTTGGACTCGATGGTCTTAGAGGTCTTTTCCAACCTTAATGATTCTATGATTCTAGTCTATGATTCTATGAAATTATTTTTACACAACTCTCCTTTCCATAAACATCAAAGCATCTTAGTTTCAAAATGCATTTAACCATGATGGCTTTTCAAAAACTACACTCTGGGGGGGGGGGGGGGGGGGGGGGGAGGTTCCTGTTTGTTATATTCCAGTATCAGGTTGTTTTTCAGGTATTCAGTCAAGAGATTTGCAGACAAAAATTACAAGCAATTAATTTGGCTCATCCTAATTATATTGTGGCATTAGATTAATAGAAACTATGCACTCTGTCCTTTAAGGGCAGTGTTCTGTAGAATTCTGCATAATAAGAATCTTTTGGCTTGAAATGAATCTCAAAGCATGTTGATTAAAAGGTTAAAGGGCAGAGATTTTAATTATTGTCAAAAATCTAATTAAGAATATGAGAGAGGAACAAAGTTTGCTCTTTTTTCATATAATTGTTTATTAAAATAAAGGAAAATCCAGAATTTTACAATTCATCTTAGAGTTGGAAAATGTTTATAGTCAAGTATCACTTTCAGAAGAGTTTTCCTCTATATACTCAATTTACACCCACTCAGAAGGGCATTTTGTACTTCTGCACTGACACATTATCTGAACATCTTTCTAGAGCATGATTATTGCACAGGACAGTTGTATCTGTGACAATATTCATTTAACCAAGCACTACATTGCCCATTGTTCTTTCTGTTAAACTCAGTAGGACAGAAAAAAATGCAACAGGGTAAGATTTTGCCAGATATATTAAATCACAAAGCAGACTACCAGTTCAAGAAAAGCAGCAATTTCTCTAATTAAAATACACAACTGATAGTTTACCCCTGGCAATTTATAAACAAGAAGAATATAATCTGAACGCAAACATTTAAGTGAATTCTACGCTGTTTCCCATGTAACACGTAATAACAAAACAAGACATTTAGAAAGAACCAGTATTAGTTTACTGAAAAAGGAATGACATATTTGACCAGTACCTACACATTCCCAAACTACGCTGCAGTCCTTCTCAGCTGATGGCACTTCACGCGAGGAGATTAGGTCTCATAAATTAAATGCAGTTTCAGAGAATTTAACTTCACAATATGCCAAATGAAGTTTTAACACATAGAAACCTCTGTTTCCTCCTTTATCTAAAATATTTGCAGCAAATTAAATCTTACAATTACTTTGGAACATTTGGCAGTTATTTACTTATTTGAGTAATAAACCCCTGAAATTTCCCTTCTATTTGAGCTTAATACTTGAACTATGTGAAAACTGTTCCTCTAAACATGGAAGCAAATTTAGAAAAAAAAAAAGAAAAAAGTTTTAGCACTCAGTAGGAACAGTTTCTTTGTAGCAAAATCATAACACAGTTCCCCCTTCCACAAAGTAGGTTCAACAATATCCAATAATTTAAATATCTACTGATCATGGCTGTGTGTTTACCCTTGTGGTGTCAGTAACACTTATAGAGAAATCCATCTTTCTTTCAGGAACATAACATGGAATCAGCCCATTCTTCTACTAGTCAAGGAAGAATCAGTGCATGAGTTAATATGTTTTAACAAGAAAATGAAACCTTATCTTTGTTTTTAAAAAAAAAAAATCCTGGGAAGTTATTTTTGCTAGCTTTAAAAAAGGCCAATTCATTAGTTGCATTTTGGAGTTCCAAAATAAATAGACCTTTGCTGCATGGCAATGTCACTTATTCCAAAGCTTTCAGTAGACGTTAAGAGCTCCCAACTCGATCTCTGGGAATAATCCGTAGATCTGAACCATGCTTTAGAAATACATTTCCTAAACAAATAAACAAACAAAACAGAATGTGTTACCAACTAACCAAATAAAATGTTACCTAAACAAGCATAAACATTTAAAGGATAATAATGTTAGGTCAGCGTTCAACATCTTTGTAGTAATTCCTCTAATATACCAGAAATATATTTTTTTATGTTTCCATAGAATTTCATCTTATCCCTCTTACTCCAAAGAGCTCTTATTTTTAAATAAAAATACCAGAGCCAAAGTCATCTAATAGGACTTGCAAGCTATCACCTTTCAAACTTTGCGGTTCCATACTTGAATGTCTGATTTCACTTATATGAAAGTGAAGAAGGACAAGGGGGACTGGCTTTAAACTAAAGGGGGGTAGATTTAGACTAGATATAAGGAAGAAATTTTTTACGCTGAGGGTGGTGAAGCACTGGCACAGGTTGCCCAGAGAGGTAGTGGGTGCCCCATCCCTGGAAACCTTCAAGGTCAGGTTGGACGGGGCTCTGAGCAACCTGATCTAGTTGAAGACGTCCCTGCCCACGGCAGGGGGGTTGGACTAGATGACCTTTAGAGGCCCCTTCCAACCCAAACTATTCTATGATTCTCTATACCATCATAATTTCAAGACCAGGAAATGAAGTTTTACTTCTCCATAATTTTTTTTTTTTATCTTGAGGTCATTCATGCATATACTCCTTTTTAATTCTCTCCCTGGTTCAGTATTTATCTGCTTCTAACTTCAGAACCTTAACGGTACTTTTCTTTTAGGAAGACTCTCCACATACCCAAGCATCAGTCAGTCTCATTTTAGCATAAAAGAATCTTGACCTTCATATTTATTACTGTATAGTCTTAATCATGATAGTCTTTTAAAGAGGACATAGTATGAAAATTAGAAGTTTCTAATACTTAGACGTCTAGAATATTTTCTGCATGTATTCAGGATTGCCATTCAGGTTGCTATTTTCTTCTATTAAACGTAACATTTGAAAATGAAACCACATTGCTAAAAGTGATGCATTCTTTAATTACTATATTGAACTTTTTTTTTTTAACTTCATACTGCTACTGCATGAAACAGACTATATGCAATTCTACAATATCAGGCTTTAATAATAGCTACCTATTCTTATTCATCTTCGTGTTGACTTGTAAAACCAGAATAACTGTATTTCTCTCCTAAGCACCCCATTTCACGGACGTAGAGTGCTCTCATAAAAAATATATTTAGCATTTCTTCAAGTTATTAACATATTGGAACAAAGCTACCCTTTTTCTAACTTCACTTTTCTGGCACATGGATCAGGATTGAAACCATTCTACTTATTCAACAAAACAAGTATTAGAAAATCAGTTCAAAAGAATGTGTTACCAGAAGATGTTCTGTTTTTAGAGATCTGCCAAGACCACATACTGAAGAGATCTGTAAAACCCACTGAACACAAATCTGTCACACCAGCAAACCAGTGAACTAAGCTCACCAATCTAGATGAAAAGTATCCATATTGCAACGGCCACCATAAAACTCTAAATTTTTAAAAGAGGCCCCAGCTGCATCTCATGCAGACAGCAGTTCACCCCACCTCTCAGTCTGTTTCCATCATTAATATCACAGTGGTTTTATTAAAGTTATGGCATACTATTCCCTGAACTAGCGAGGATTTAAAATTGAAATCAATACAGGAATAAAGTGCTAAGCCTAGCTTTTTCAGCTTTCATTTCCCCTCCTCCATGGAATCATGTAGGGAGAATGAGAGAAAGTCATACTTGAGGAGTACTTTTATTCAGAAAGTTGGGGAAATAGTGGAACAGTACAAAACCTCTGAAATCCCCAAGGATTACTAAGATGTTATTCCTAGATCATCTTATTTTGGGAAGTTTTTGAAGACTAAAGTAACTGTTCACTCTACAGGAACTTTAATATATGCAAAAAAAAAGAAAAAAGGAAAAAAAAAGTACATTTTACCCTATCAAGTTTCTGAGATATCAATTAATAAGGCTGAACATAAGATTATATCTAAATTATATATGTTTACTTGTAAACTGAGGAGGGATTTTTGTCTGGGCCTTGGGTTTGGTGTAGGTCATTTTTTGGTTGGGTTTTTTTGGGGTGGGAGGGTTGGGTTTTTGGGTTTTTTTTTTTCAGTTTAAGGGCAACTTCACACAGCACTGTCAGGGCAATGGTACCTTCTGTGTTAAAAAAAGTAATCCATGTGCAATCCATGCACCTAATCTTACATTTGCAGATAAGATTAAGACTGTGATGAAAACATTTTGCATCTAGATGCTTTTGATTTACCTGACCCTTGATTATGAGATGCTGTCTTATACTACTACTACTACTGAATAATTCCTCAACATTTGTAAGAACTTATGAAAGGTAAATCAAATCAATTGGATATGTGAATTCAATATGCATAGCTGCAAGCATGATGAACTACCATATGGATATTTTCATTCAGGAGTCAAGTAGTCCTAAATAAATTTACCTTGCAGCATTGTACTAAGCTACAACTAATTTGAGCTACATAATACAAAATGAAAGTATACTTCTGAGGAAGAGAAACAGCGTTAAGTATACCTTAACTTAAGCAACTGACTTTACCTGTTTTGCCTAAGTATTCCTCAGTGGTCATGTGAGAATGGGGCTTTACATGTGGGTGATAATCTAGTAGCTAAACTAAATTATTAGTTTTATTATCTGTTTTTAATACACTCGGTCATGGGATCATGATGAGCACAGCATCAGCTGAGGAGTCTGCCTGAGGCAGTACACCTGTCAAACCATAATCCAGATGTCCTAAGGCAAGCCCAGGAAGGACAGAAACCTCCAGTGGAGCAGAAAGCCAAACGCTCACTTGATCTTCATTTTGAAAGGTTGTTGATGCAATCGCAGACCTCAGAAATGGGTTGCTACACCTAAATGGTTCCTCTTACAACTCCAAGAAATTCCCCAAACTAATGTCAAGCAATTGCTCTTCTAACCATCAGATACTATTATATGCTCTGCAAGGATTTACTTTATACTATTTATCTTACATAGCTAAGTATGCTGATAATACCTTGGCTTTCTTATTCACTTTTTAGATCTGAAAAAAAATGGTGTGGTATCTTCAATAACGACTGGCAGACAAAGGGCACAAATGAATGAGACCTGGCAGAGATTTCATGCAAAAAAACCAGAGAAGCGGCAAGTCTCCATCAACTGTTCATCACGTTTGCAAGCAGGAGTAAAATTAGATTCACAGTTTTCACTGGATGACCATGTTCCACAAGCACTAAAGCCATTTTTATTATTTCTTAGTATCATGGAATCATAAAACCGTTTAGGTTGGAAAAGACCTTTAAGATCATCGAGTCCAACCGCTAACCTAGCACTGCCAAGTCCACCACTAAACCATGTCCCTAAGCGCCACATCTACATGTCTTTTAAATACCTCCAGGGATGGTGACTCAACCACTTCCCTGGGCAGCCTGGTCCAGTGCTTGGCAACCTTTTCGGTGAAGAAATTTTTCCTAATAGTCAACCTAAACCTTCCCTGGTGCAACTTGAGGCTGTTTCCTCTTGTCCTATCGCTTGTTACTTGAGAGAAGAGACCAACACCCACCTCGCTACAGCCTCCTCTCAGGCAGTTGTAGAGAGCGAGAAGGTCTCCCCTCAGCCTCCTTTTCTCCAGGCTAAACAACCCCAGTTCCCTCAGCCGCTCCTCATAAGACTTGTTCTCCAGACCCCTCACCAGCTTCGTTGCCCTTCTCTGGACACGCTCCAGCACCTCAATGCCTTTCTTGTAGTGAGGGGCCCAAAACTGAACACAGTATTCGAGGTGCGGCCTCACCAGTGCCGAGTACAGGGGCACGATCACTTCCCTACTCCTGCTGGCCACGCTATTTCTGATACAGGCCAGGATGCCATTGGCCTTCTTGGCCACCTGGGCACACTGCCGGCTCATATTCATAGGGAAGAAATGTTCAGAAATTTCTACTAACAAGATACTCCACTCCACCATAACTCTCGTCTCAAATGGGTCGAGATGAGATTACTGTAATAATTTCCAAATTAATTTAAAAGTATAGCGTTCCAAGAACAAGACCACAGAAGCCTGCTTCCACACAACAGACGGTAATTAGTGCAATTCAACATCTGTACTACGTTTCCATGTATTTCAGGAGGTGATGGGGAAAGCTTTACACTTCTCTGTGACAGAGGTAAACTCGTGTCTCATAGCAAGCCTCCACAGTGGAAATCAGAGATTTCTCACCTGTAATCCCTTGGTGAGAAAAAGAGGGCTATCGGCAAGAAGATCCTCTCTTCTTGAAAATATGCTTTCCAAAGTACCTAGAGTTCCTGCTTTAAAACTGAGTATTATTTTTTAAACATATCTCATCAGAAGTGCTGCTAAAATAGCAAATACTACTGACTAAATATAGTGAGGAAAAAATATAGCTATTACTTGTTATTTCAGTAACATGTAATACAGTATTGCTCTTTTAAACTGCACACTAAATACCTAAGCCCTGAAGATCAGAAGTGCCTCATTTTTTCACAGATCTAAATAAACAAATGTTGAACAATAGTTCTTTACACAGTTAAATCCACTGTGTAAAGGTGGATTTAACCTTTCACACACTACACTGACTGTAGTTTCCAACTACTGGGTAATGCTTCTCCCATTTAAGAAATCAAAACTTAAAATATAAATCAACCCCAATTGATTAGTTTATAAGAAAAATAACCGAGGTTTTTAATACTGGGCTTCAGAAATAATAACTTACCTGCTGTCTGTGCAGGGTTTATTCCTATTCCATCTAGGAAAAAAAAAATTAAAAAAAAGAGGGAAAAAAATAAGAGGGAAAGGTGAAACAGACATAATACAATTTACTACACTAAACTTACAGGTCAAAAAATATAATATACCAACAAGATATAATTATTACATCAGGTCTTCAAGCAGCTATTTCCCATAATCAAAACTAGTCTTATCACAGGAGCTAACAAGAAACGTTCAGCACAGAAAATCCACACTATATGTTAGGACAAAACCAAATTAATAATATTAGTGGTTTAATACCTTCATCCCATGCATAAGCAATTTAAATAATGCTGCAACATTATTAAATTCAGTTTGCAGTCTGTAGAGGCTGTGAAAGAAAAGACACTTTTGCTTTTATCAATATCCCTTCACTGAAACAACAATACAAAAACTATTAAAAATATATATAAACTATATTCTTACCATTTGTTATAATGGCACTTGTTGCTGCAGGAACTTTGAACTAAAGGAATTAAGACATAAAGGGAAAAGACATAGTTAAAGCAGAAAACGCATGGGGAATATTCAAAGCAATTATAATTTTAGCTGGTTCAGGTACAAAAAAATTATGATAAAAGATTCCTCTCAGATTTATAGATATAGCAAAATAAAGGTTTAAAGTCGAAGTTGATTAGATACCTCAATACAGAATAAGAAATTTACAGTACTAATCAACTAATTAAATCCAATTATTATTACTCATTAGATAAAAGATAAAAGTTGGGCCATCCGCAAAGTTAAGCAATATTAGTTCTTATTACATTAAATAAAGGAATACCTAAAACATGTATGGAAATGAACTTCTAAAAAGCATACCTGTTATGTCTAACAGGAGTTAAACAAGAATTAGTTGGTTCTAATAATGTTGGTTAATTCGGACCAATGTCCTAGCTTTCTCCCTGACTCTACTGGGACCTCTCCAACTGCACTGCTCCAAGAGGAGACTTCACGCCAGGATTTGCTTACAAAAGGAAGCACTAACAGCACTGTATCAGCTCTGGCTCCCTCCTCAGAGGGAGCCTAAGCAGGCTTTGTACCCTCAAACACCACCACGTGTCTCCATGGTACCCCACCCCCATGCGCATCATACGGGGTCAGTTTTACAATGTGAAAAGCCCTACTCAGGTGGGGTTGCATCGCATACAGGCTTCAAACTATTTCAGAAGATCTGAACTGAGATGGGGAAGCCAAAAATAATTATTTCTCAGGACTAGAGGGAGCCAGGCAGGGCCAGAGAAAACTCCTGCGCTATCTAATGTGGTTGGACCACACCGGACAGAAAGGGAAGGGCGGGTGCAAGTCGATCAGTGGTTGGTATGAGGACCGAAGGTTGCTCCTTGGGCTTCCCTTATTACTTAGCACAATGAACAACCCCCAAGGTAAAAGGCTGGTGTCTCAGCAATGAGCAAGTATCAGTGAAACCTCCTCACAAGGCACTTCATCCTCCTCTCTATATTGCATAAGAAAAAGGGCTAACTATGAATGCTAACATGGAGTGCTTCCCTGGAAGAACTGCAGAGCTCTCCCATCTCCTGAACAAGTCACTTCAGCCGTGCCTTTCAATGGCTGTCACTACTTGTGCTTTCCTCATTTTCTGATTGCTCAACTTAAGATTTCCAGGTCTGATTTGCAGAAATATTAATGCATTAACAGCAACAGCTAAAGCTCAGAGAAACCATGCTTGAATACAGTACTTAATTATTAATAGACTGAAAAACTGCTCTTTTTTATCTCCAGACACACAAAATGAGCAATTTTTTTTTTTTTAACTTGTTCTCTCTTAGCTTTTTATCCATAGCAGGTAAATCATGTCACCTCCTCATCTTGCAGGGTGACATGAAAACAGTAATTTCTGCAAAAGATAATAGGTTAGATACCAGTGTCATTGTAGAAAGGCCATAAGGAAAGTAACAATTTGCCTTCAAAGCAAGATTTGAATAATGAAGTTGATAAAAGAGGAGCTACATATTTAATAGTAAGAATGTAAAAAATAATATGCTACCTCATAACAGCTAATGTATACGTATCGTATGCTGAAGAAAGTAAGCCTTCATTCTCAAGTTCACTAACTTTGGGAATCTTGACTTAGCAGTCTAAGGAGAAATCTTTTAACAAGTTTGGGTTTTGTGGGGTTTTTTTGTTTTTTACATAGTAAGAGAAAATGAGTTTATAAGGTTTGAACAGTGGGATGGGGAGAGAATTGGAAGGGTAAAAGTGAGAAAACTCGTGGGTTGAGATAAAAACAGTTTAATAGGTAGAGCAACAGTCACGCACACAAGAAAAGCAAAACAAAGGAATTAATTCACTACTTCCCATCGGCAGGCAGATGTTCAGCTGTCTCCAGGAAAGCAGGGCTCCCTCACGCGTAACGGTGACTTGGGAAGACAAACAGCACCACTCCAAACATTCCCCCCCTTCCTTCTTCTTCCCCCAGCTTTTATATACTGAGCATGATGTCACATGGTATGGAATGTCACATGGTATGGGATATCCCATTGGCCAGTTTGGGTCAGCTGTCCTGGCTGTGCCCCCTCCCAGCTTCTTGTGTTCCTCCAGCCTTCTCAGTTGGTAGAGCATGGGAAGTTGGAAAGGCCTTGACTAGTATAAACACTACCTAGCAACAACTGAAAACATCAATGTGTTATCAACATTGTTCTCACCCTAAATCCAAAGCACAGCACTGTACCAGCTACTAGGAAGGAAATTAACTCTATCCCTGCTGAAACCAGGACACAAGTTTGGGTTTTGTGGGTTTTTTTTGTTTTTTACATAGTAAGAGAAAATGAGTTTATAAGGTTTGAACAGTGGGATTAATGTCAATCATATTAAGTCCTGCCTCCTACAATGAGTGCATCTCCAATTCAAAAAGTAAAGGAATAAAACACAAAAAAAATCCTGAACAAGCAGGAAATATATGTTTAACTTAATACTTAAGTTATTTTTCAACAAGCAGTTTCCATTATGATTAAGTGATACCCTGGATCTGTCATCTTAAATCATCTGAAAAAAACCCATAAATGTAACTTCTAGAATGTTAAGTGCCTCTTCTCATTTCTTCTCTGTCTCTTGCATCTCCCAGTGCGTGAAAGGGATGGATCATTCACAGGAGGATGGACATCTCTACTCATTTTGTGTCATTTTGCTTTTCAGTAGGAGAATCTACCCGAATCCGATACACTAGGTGCACATGAGAACTGTGTGGCAACCAGCCAGTGAAGCACCAGTTAAGATTCTCTTATTGCTTCATATTGTACTGTGTTAGAAGAGAATAAACCACTTCGTTATCTTAGCCCAAAACACTGGGCCAAACAGCAATAGTTGTTGGCCACATACTCAGCACATGAAAATCACCACAAGTATAATACAAAAAGGGAAACTACCATTGTAATTATACCATTTATAATTACACATAATTTGGTGCAATATGGTTCACTATTTAAATCAAAAATCCTTCCTGTGGCTGCTAAGCATATGTTTCCCAGGCTGAAAATATACAAGCTTTCTGTGATACAAAGTCAAACGGATACTCAAGTGGCAAACAAGTTCTGTATTCAGTAGATAAACCCTGGCTTGCTTTGAAACCAAATTGGATAACATCCAGCCCCAAACTCACACACTTTAAAGAAAGAGATTGTTTGCTTTAAAAACCTTATAAATTGATAACTGAGGCTGCCACAAAACTCATTTTCTCCAATGCCAGGAAATACATTTGTCAATATCTACAGTCAAACTATAAGGAAAAGATGACAATCATATACCAACAATTATATCCCTTTCTCACTTTTTACAACGATGACAAAAATCCTCTACAGTAATAAGCTCATCTCTTTTTCGTGCAATGAACAGCAGATAAGTGCATTAAACCAAAGTATTTTAGCACCAATCTATCGAGAGTAATATTAGAATAACAAAATAATAGTTTCAAAAATATACATGTTTATGAAAGAATAAAGTTTAACTTTATTTAATGGAAATGGATGACTATTTCAGTAATAATCTCACAAATGTAAGAGAGGCTTTTTGTAAATACTGTGCAAATGTACACCTGAGATATGTACCAAGCAGCTCTACCAGATGAAGGAAAAAACCCAATAGATACCACACATTGTAAATGAGAACATTAACAGTCACAATAAACTGTGACAATTGTGGAAAGAACTATAAATAGATAAAAACTTGAGAGTAGTGTTTCCAATAGTTTACATTTCAATTTACATTTTTTATATATAGTCTGTAAGACAAACAGAGAAAATAAAAAATAAGGGAAGAGTTAAATTTGCATTATCCAAATTATCACTGCCAAATGGGAAGGGCTGAGACTGCTACAAATGATTGAGACTTCCCGAGACCTCCCCATTTAATGATCCAGTTTTCTTTCACTTCCAGCTCTGCCAATCATGAATTGCATACAATGAACTTTAACATGTTATGTGATGTGCTAGAGATGACAGAAGTAAAATCTGTTATGTATTTTGGTTATTTCCAAGGGAAAAAAAAAAAGGAACACATCTTGTTTTGCGCAATGAAAGTAATTCAGAAAACTGTAATGTTTGACAAAGCACTGTGACTGAAACTTGATATATAAGATGACCATTCTACATCATGGCTACAGTTCTGCTGTTCCAGGGGAATTCTGGCTATAATTTGGCCAAATTTTAAGGCTCTAAAAAACGACTCAGTAGAAAGTTGCTAAGGCTAAACAGCCGAAACTTAAATCGTTCTCTGTCCCAAGAGCTTTAATCACTGAGGAGATAATGCACTTCCCCTGGAGACCAACTGACATCTTTGTCCAAAATCCAGGGCTACCGTTCGATCTTTTCCTTACATGTTTCATACAAGGTACTGTGAAACTGGTATCTGAATCATAGTACGCAGCATAAGCTAATGTTAAGCTATGCAGGTCCAAGGAACAAAAAACATTTATATAAGACAAAAATTCTCTCTCATTCTTTTCAATGCCAGTTCACAGAGGATCAAAGGAGCTTCATTCCTGGGGAAGAGTCTAACAGTCTTTTTTGCTCTCTGTTTACAAAGCATTTAGTTCTGCCTGGTCTCATAGAGATGTAAAAAGCTTCAGTAACACATCAGCAATGACAACTAAAAACAGTGCCATATTCTGAAACATCAATCATACGTTCATGTTATTAATTTCTATTTAACACTGACACAGGCTAATACAAACGTGCTTCACACTGTTTTGGGGAGGTAATTAATAAATTGTTCCTTGTATCTTCTATTTTCTTTTAAAGAAATGTTTATTGTATAGGCATTTAATGGAATTACTCTAGTGAGCATTAAAAACACTGGGCTCTTTTACATTCCATCACACATCTTCAGTCTTTCTTGTGAGCCTCCAAAACACAGCTACAATTACTCTATAAAACTGTGCTGATGCAGAGCGGTCTGACGTCAAACAGCAGAACTCCCACAGATGCTCAAAATACTCATATCACCTAAAGGAATGGTTTACTTAATGTGAATATTTAAGTCATTAATTCTTCTCTAAATCCATTTCACAGAGGACCCTATCACCGACTAAGACTGTGGTTCCACGAGTAGGTAAAACAGGTTTCATGGCAACCCTCCCACCAGAAGTGGCCCCTTACTCGTGGTGTCTCCAACTACTCAGTCCCACTCCAGTCTTTCCTGGTCCCTCATACTAGCCTATTAGACTTTTCAGTCTAGGTCTCTCTGTATGGGTTGTGTGGGCACAGCTGCATTAGTTCAGATTAAAAATAACTGGGAAAAAAACCTAGTTTAAAAAAAGCAATTAAATCAGCAAATATCTTTAACAGCATTTATTATTCTGTATACTGTTCTGTTTACACAAAGTTACAACAAACAAACAATCCACAACCTCCCCCCACAAGCTGTGTTTCCACTAAGAACTTCTGCCACATAGTGGTATAACACTAACAACATAAGGAGACTCAAAACACATAGTCCATTATCCTTCCTAATTATTTATTAAAATTCCAATGCTTGAACAAACAAAATTGTCAATAACCCAAAATTTCCCAAGTTTTCCTAAAAAGGCAGAAGGGGAATTGCAAGAACAGACTCTCAGCTGAATCTGTTTGCTGACTAGATGAAAAAAGACATCATGCTTTTGAGCACTTTATTTTACTGTTTACACCCAGATGGACATCTCTTAATCTTTGTACACTTAATCTGAAACAAACAGGATGCATCTCTTCAAACACATTATATAGGCAATTTAGGCACCTATTGGTTTTGGATTTCATGTGAAAGATCAAACACCCAGAAGCCAAAGAACACATCATCCAAGTGTTATTCATTTAAGTCTGTTTTTTAAATCTAGCCCATATGCCTAATATTAATACCCTCTATAATAAAAAACTGTGTGTCTTCCAAAGACAGAGATTACTGGAACTGACTGTGAGAATAGTTGAAGAATTTCCTGAATAATTCTAAAGAATTTTCTGGATATTCTACACAAGCAATTTAAAATATTTAATATTTAACAGCTGTACCTTTTAATTATGTTCACTGTCACAAATTTTTATGTTATTGATATAAAATGGTTTAATTTAATCGCAAAGAAGAACAGGAAGTGTGTCAATACCTGCTGTTGATGTGTAAATAGTGCAAGAATTGCTAAGCTTAGGATTCTGAAAGTTTTGGCAGGCCCACACTGACACCAGTAAAGCTTGTGTTCATGTGTACCTAATGAGCGTTCTTTGTGCTGAAATAACCATTGCATTTTACAATTAAAAAGCTTTTGCTTTCAGGAATGTTCAGAAAGTTAAAAACCAACGTCATCACTTTCTACTTACTTCTTCTGCAGCAAACTTCAAGACAGCTGTGAAAGGTGTACTTTCAGGCACACTTAACCTGAAATTACAATGCAAGCAAATATGTGACTGCTAAGACAAACTGAAAAGCAACTTTATTTGCTATTAATCTACTAATTTAAACTTCGCTTTTACCAACGGGGTAATACTCTTGCCAAAGACGTGCATGTACTATTTATTTAAGGTCTAGATCAAAGCCCAAAAAGATACACGTGGCAGTAGAACAAAGTAGAAAAGCCCTGAAAGGTGAATTAACAACAGAAAACCGCCTCTGGTTTCACACGGAGGAAGAAAAACGCCTTTTCTACTCGTGCGAAAGCCCTGTCAAGA